TATGGTGTCATGATCCTAACTTTACGTCTAAAATCCTCACGCACCACTCACTGATAGTTTGAAACTTAGAGCAGCAAGGGGAAGTACAATGCTATCATCCAGTGATTGGAAAACTTTCGAGAAGTTTTCCAGAGGGCTCAAATATACAAGGAGGTGTTATATATAATTACTGGGCTTCGGTGCCCACACCGTGAACGGATTGCCAGATTGCAGTAAAAATTTAATTTTTTGGCAAGTGCAACTAATCAATTAAAATATTTATAGCGCAAATGTGTCAGCCCAGGGAGTAAAGGAGCGTATTGATAGTCCAAGGAGGCGAAATTTTCGGTAAAGCTTGTTTTATAGAGCTATGCCGGAACATTACATTTCCAGATTCTTGCGAAAAACACTCCTCGGTGTTTTTGAGAATAAGTCGCAAGCGGCAAAGTTCATGTTGGTGCAAATAGAGGCAATCAAGTTGCATTACCTTGATTTTAATTCTTATTCCGGGGGTTGAAGGAGATCCTCAATATAGTCTCATAAAAAGAATCGATATTTCCCCATTCGAATCTGTGGTGAAGAATCGATTATTAAGGTGTTTGCTGCGAACACCCTATGTTTATCGATTTTTTTCCATAGGTTTAAATGGCGTAACAATCGATATATCGGAATAATTTTAACCGATCTCGAGTAAAATTCAACAGTACACATTAGGAAATGGACCTCTGCGTGGGATAGCAATGATTTGCTGCCTCCAAAAATTAATAATACAAATGGGAAACTGCTACCAGTCTTGAAAATTGTAAGGTAGGTTTGTACCTACGTTGAAGTTCGTCAAAGTTATCGAACTTTTTAATTCCTCTGTATTTTTTATTTTTTCACTGAGAAATCATTTTAATCGTTAATTTGCATCGTTTTGCTTAGTTGCATTGTTTAGTTTTGCTGAAAATTCGTCAAAATTCTCAGTTTTACAATACCATGTCAAGAATCTCTTTAAACCTCCCTAAATCAAAATATCTGTACTGTAAGCTCCGAGACCTCCTTACTGCATATCTGGTAACGCTTCGTTCCAGCGTTCTACCGGGCCGATTTTCATGATTTTTGCGGCTATCGACGGGCAATTGCCTCTAGATAAGCAAACTCTTTTCAGATTTTCAAAATATGGCCCAGGTTTTTTTATATTACGTGGTAAAGTTGCGAATTCTCCCATTTAAACAATGTAAATTTATACTTTTTGTCATAGTTCGTTTGAGCGTTCTACCGGGCCGATTTCCATGATTTTTGCGTAAATCGACAGGTAATAGGCCCTAGATGAGCCCGCTGCAATCAGATTTTGGAAATAGGACCCAGGTTTTTTTAAAATCACGTTATAAAAGTGAGTGAGTTTACAGAATGCTCCAGTACTGCTACCGCTATGCGCGGGAGGATGCGCAATGGTCGAGGAGGTTGCGCAGTAGCTGGGTAGCCTGCGCATCAGCTCTACACTTATCTACACAAGATTCGCACCTACGACATCATGTCGAGCGGTGGCCGAGTCGTCTAAGACGTAAAATGCGTCCGCTTTGATCACAGTGTGGGTCCGATCCCCGACTTATGAAATCTTAATTATTACCTGACCATCACTGTTCATTGTTTTATTGCAATATTTCATCAAGCAGTCATTCCAAAACGCGTCCTTTTAATTTTAAAGTATTTTAAAGTAAAGTTTAAAATTAAAGTATACCTCATATCGTATTTTTTTAGGGCAAAAGTAAAACTAACACTGATAGGAGGGTAAAAATAGGGCCGCGAAGCGGCCAATTGATGGCGCGGAGCGCCTTCAGGGGGTTGGGCCGCGTAGCGGCCAGAAGGCGTAGCCCCCTAGTCTATACTATAAGCTCCGAGACCTTCTTAATGCATATCTGGTAACGCTTCGTTTCAGCGTTCTACTGGGCCGATTTTAATGATTTTTGCAGTTATCGACAGGCAATTGTCTCTAGATGAGCCCGCTGTATTCAGATTTTGGAATTATGACCCAGGTTTTTTTTATATTACGTTGCAAAGTTCCAGATTCTCCCATTTAAACAATGTAAATTTATTTTTTCGTCACAGTTCGTTTAAGCGTTCCACTGATCCGATTCCCATGATTTTTACGGTTATCGACAAGTGATAGTCCCTAGATGAGCCCTGTTATGCATATAATCTTATGGATCTCAGGGCTCATGTCTTAGTGCACATAGTTCCGTTTGCCAGAAATACGTCCAGTTGACGTCTAAGGAACGACTATGAATACGGGTGTCTGATTTGTGTGGTCTTTTTTCGATTGCAAAACTTGCTATGTCTCTCCCTATCCAGGCTCTGTTTAAGACTAGTACAGCCAACAGAAAACTTAAAGTATTATCCGCTAGTCAGCTCTCGGGAGTTTCGTAACCCATGCTGCCGTACTAAGGAAGAACGCCGCGCCGTATGCGTACACAGAAAAAAATGGATGATGCTGACGACAGAACCTTTTGTTGATACGGCTCCCACAGTTTCTCTGTTACACTTACAGATCTTTTCTGTTGTGAGAACAGAACTTCTGTCGTGGGAACAGAGTCTGTTCTCACAACAGAAAAGTTCTGTAAGTGTAACAAAGAAACTGTGGGGGCCGTATGGACAAAAGGTTCTGTCGTCAGCACCGTCCATTTTTTTCTGTGTATCCAGGCGTTGTTATATTTCCCTCAATGAAAATCCGAATTTCCTAGGAAAATTCTGAATATTTTTCCTCCATTTTTTCAGGCAAGTTTGTTCGCAATTTAATCGAAAATATTCGAAAGTTTCAAGGAAAAATATGCTTAACTGCCCTCGTAAAGACACATTTTATTCAGGGAAATTTTGCAACTCCCGAATGTTCATACGGCGTTTTTCCTCACCATGGCATTATGCTGATGCTGAGCCGCACGCAGTTTCAGGGTTAACCTCCGGACTCGGGTGAGTTATTAATCCTGTCGAGAAAAAGCAGAGAACTTTTGAATTCGGTCACGTAATCCGAGTAGGGATACTCGGCAGGCTCCATTTCCTCGCTTTCTGATGTAAGGGCGTATCTTGATTCCGCCATGAGCCCCAGGATGCATACATGTTTATGTGGAACGGAGCTCACGTGAAGAATCAGACACGCTATCGTGTCAGAGGGGCCACGATTTCTCCAATATTCGGCTTAGGAAGTTCGGCCCTCTCTATCTAAATATGCCCCTAGATGAAATTCCTTAGAAGGGGAGAAAGGATTCCTTTTCACCCCTCCCTATATCCTGTCTCTTACTTACTCTGCTGTGCTAAGGAAAGACACCGTATGAACATGCGAGAGTTGCCAAATTTCCTCCGATAAAATATGTATTTTTAAGGAGATATATGAATATTTTTTCTTGAAATCTTCAGGAACTTTAGGTGAAATTGCAAAAAAAATAATCTGAAAAACTTGAAGAAAAATAATCATAGGTTTTCTCGAAATTGCATATCAAATTAAAGGAAATTTGGCAACGCCTAAAGGTTCCTACGGTTCCTGTCAGTATCGCTGCATATCGTCGTTTCCCCCAGAAAGAACGTAACTTCATTTTTATGTTGCCATATTTCCCCTCGCAAATTTAAATTTTAACTGTATATTTTTGGGCATTTCCAACTGAAAAATTTACTGATTTTTTTTCCGATCTCATGAAAAAATCAACAAATTTCTGGACAAAATTGCACAGGTATATTCTTGTAAAAAGTCATTTGTATGAGTCAATTTTGCAACCTTGGAATGGAGATAAGTTCCTTCGTCCGGGAAACGACGAAATGATAACTGCACCAGTGGCGTGGCGTGGACAATCGATTATCGATATTTCCCTGTTTGAAGCTATAGTAAAGAATCAATAAGGTGTTCGTTACAAACACCCTGTCTATCGATTCTTTCCATAGATTTAAATAGCAGATCAATCGATATATCGCAAAAACGCCATGCCTTTTTTTATCAAAATCTGCGACCGTGCCGCCACCGATCGCGAAACTTTTATCGACAGTCGGTGGTAAACGATTTTTCGCAACAGTCACTGCATCTTTAAAAGTTTTTCGCCGATTGAGACGAATGAAATACTTATTTAAGGGAAATTATTTGAATGAAAACAATACCCTCTCAAGGCTTAACGTTTCCCTTAGACTGTACATGGGTGTTTAGTATTTTTTAATTTTGAAAAATCCTGCTTTTTCCTGATATTTTATGAAAAATTCCTGATTTTTTCATTATGAAAATTCCTGATATTTTCCTGATTTTTCGACGTCCTGGCAAGGTAGGCAAAAAGCAGTAAGAGGAGATTCGCGTAAGAAAAACTCCTGATAAAACGTCCGATTTTTCCGAATTTCCTGATTTTTTCCTGATCGGCCAAAATTCCTGATATTTTCCGGTTTTTCCTGATGCTAGACACCCTGTACAACCTCCAGGTCTAAGAAAGAATTGTTTCTCTCCTTTCTTCCTAACCGTGAAGAAATATTTAAAACCGTCTGTAGCAGAAAGTAGCCAAGCCGCATCAGCTATTTCCAAGTTTTCCTAGGCAATTTAATTTTTCACAAGAAAGAGTTTGTGCGGATTCCTCGGAAAATTTTGAAGAATTTGCTTCGCATTGTGCAGAAAATTCTCTGAAATGTGCACGAAAATCCGCACAACCTTTTCATGTAAAAAATTAAATTGCCACGTTAAATTTGGTAATAGTTGATGCGGCTTGGTTCCTTTTTGCTCGGCGCGGTCGATTTATTGATTATACAAACTGAAAATCTCATTCCGAGGGTAACCTAAATTGTTCTATGTTTTTTACCCCGTTATTTTTCTTAAAAAGCTTACCTTTTAACCTGAACCCTTACATTAGCCTTAACCTTTCATTGGGGGAAGTAAGGAGGTTCAATTCTTCAAGAAGAGGTCATCATTTACTATAAATATTTGGAATCCTCTCACTGACACTAGAGATTGAAATATTTTATCCTGTACAATTTTCACCGACATTAACGAACTTTTCCTTTGTTTTTTCTGTTAACAGTTTTCGGTCGAATAGTAGTAGAACAAATTCAGCTTTAGTTAATTCGAATTCTGTGCCCAACTCTAATAGTACTGTAGTTAATAGTAATGGACGGATAGAACCTCCGGATGCCCACTACGACACTGTCAAGGTAAGATTTTCTACAATTTCCAACTTTGATCGTGGAAAACTCATTATTGTCTTGAAAGTTCTCGTGGCTGTGTCAAAGTTGACAATGGATATGATGTCTAGGAGCTGAACATAGTTTCCAGATTTTGCTGAAAATTAGCATTATTCCCATAAGACTTGATGCAAAAGATGCTGCTTTTTCAGCAATATTTGTCAACAATGACACAAGAGGTAGTGGGATTTTTTAAGTCATGAAAAATATAAGTTTCCTGGTATGAATGCTATTTACGAGCCGAAATTTTGCAACGCTGAAATTTAGTTACATTCCTCCGTCTGGGAAACGATCACTGGGCTACATTTTTCAATTACGAACTACAATTTTCGGCTCAATTTAGAAACAACGTGCGTACCATTATGTTCCCTATGCTTTTACGTGTTCTTACGGATGAGCCAGAATTCGTAGTTCCTAATTGCAAAATGTAGTCCACTTGTGAAACTCAACTGTGGTTATTTGCCGAACGATAAGTTTTGTCTCCGTGGCTGATTGTTTCAACCACGTTGATTTCGGTTTTTTCGTGAAGAAGCAGTTTGAAGGCTAATTTCAATGTAAATAATTAACGCTTATCTCTCTTCAATGAGTTGTTTTCGGACATTTCCAATTCTACGCAATAACAAGAAATTTTGAAGATGAATCACACTTTGTGATTTTCTGATTGAACGTCATTGCTCAGTGTAGAATTATTCCATTAGACCTTTTTAAAAAGGTCCATATTTTAAGCAGATGTAGAGTTCAATTTAGTCGTATCAGACTGGATTTGGAGTCATTTTGTGCTTTTTAGCTTATGTCAAATAGCCAAGTCGGTTGCTCTGAGCAGATAAAACTTTTTTCAAATATTTATTTGGATAGTCCGATCAGCTACACAGTTCATGAACTGAAATTGTATCTAGCAGAATGAACTCATCTGCGAGAGGGTCAAAAACACTCAAGTGGTTTGGCGTTATATTCAGCCCAGTGGGTTCTGCGTACTCCTGTCGCGTGAAACTGAGAGATTACACTTCTTGAAACGGGAAGCTCATAAATTTAATTTTTGTAGCGGAGGATGTTAAGCTAGAAAGGAAAAAACCACCAGGCAAAGTGCGAATTTAAGTATTATTTTTCATGTTTTTTTCATTAAAATTCCACCTAGCACACTATTTGTGCAACGAAAGTCATTAAATGTAATTTCTAACTAAGTTACTAACGTTTTTTAGGCGTGACTTTAAATTTTCCGCTCCTGCGTAAATTGCCTTTTAATGAGAAGATTTTGGGAATTTTTGATTGAAAATTACTCTGATTTTTCTTCTGATTATAAAAAAATCAGACAAATTTTCAACAAAAATTGCGCAGATAAATTCTTCGAACAAATTGAATTGTTTGAGTCGATTTTGCAACCTTTGAATGGAGTTACGTTCCTTCGTCCAGGTAACGACGATGTGCTTATCGTGATTTTCTGGGGCATTTTCCATTAGTTCAGCAAAGGTTTGCAAGAGCCGCATGTTATTCTCAAACTCATGGATTCCCATGAAATAAGATAAGTAGTCGCTCGCTCTGTCTCAACAACACCTGATGGTGTTCGCCAGGTTTTGAATTTCCAATCATCGAGTTACTTACCTCTCATGCCAGCCACGCACCGCGCAGTGGCCAGTGGTATGACGCGCAATCCGTCCTCTAACGTGATGGTTGTGGCGCACACTGGATTGCGTCAATAGGAGAAGTCGGACAATATGTGGAAACTTTGGAAGCTTATATTTTCGAAAATATAAAGCAAAGAAGTTTAAAAGTGGCTCCATTGGTTTTTTTCGTAAAATTTACTCTCAGAAATACCCTTTGAAATCGAATTTCTGACGAAATAAACATCAAAATTTTATATTTGGCCAACAATTTCATGTCCGATCTCTCTAATTGACTCGATTCACTGTGGGACGGCAAGACGGCGCTTCGTTGACGCAACTCGCATCGAACGGAGAACGCGTTAAATTGTGCCATTTTTGGGCCCGACCGTAGATCTCGATCCTCGGGGAGGAGGGGGAGGGGGCACTGAAATTCCATCTAGAACTTGCATTATCACTTTTTCTAGCCAAGTTCTACGCGACGCCGATACGGAGACTCGGTGTGGCGCTTTATCTTCTAATTGCACTCATTAATTCCACCCGCGTTGCCAGATCGTGAGTCCAGTGGGTCAGTAGGGGAAGAGGATCCAAAAAGTTTCGGGGAAAAATGGTTACTTGATGGCCATAGGTAGGGACAACTTGGAAAAGCGAGAGAAGTCTGGAGAAATCGGGTCATAGTGAAAACCGGTAATAGTCTGGTAATATTATGTAAATATTATCCTGAAGTCATATGCTGATCCTAGGGGGGAGGGGGGGGGTCNGGGGGGGGGGGGGGGGGTCGATCCGTTCCCCTGAAAAAAAAGGAGGAAGAAAAAGAGGAAACAGAAATAAGAAAAGAATGGAGGAGAGAGGAATAAGGAAGAACGCTTGTATTTGGTAATTTTTCATGACAAAATGGACTCAAACTGCACATTAGATGCTTTAAAATTTCGACAAATTCTTCTAAAAGTTCTCTCTAGACCTCATTCTGCGCCCCCCCCCCGTTCAAAGTGTTCGGATCTGCTTATGCCTAAAGGAAAATTGTGTTCATGGTAATGGTAAATTATTTCGTGTTCTATCACACAGTATAATCCGTGTGATTGGGCAAAATTAAGAAAAGTAGATGAGCGCGAGAAAACCACAAGAATAGTTGGAGAAGAAGCGCAGAATGATCAAAATTTTAGGGGCATTTTGTGTTTACAGAAATTGTGAGCTCCTCCGTGGCGCATCCTAAGTTTTCGCTTGTGAATGTCCCTTATTCCGATCGAGAAATCCTGAAATTTTAAAAGTCGTCTTGAAAGTACGTTCACCCTCTTTATGCTCTTTCAACTGGAAGAGATGGAGGCAGTCTGTTACTAACATCGTAAAGCAACCCTCCTCAACTTTCTACCTTGCGTTTCCACCACAACGAGAACTTTCTTTATAAATTGTAACCTGGGCCCTGAGACCCGAAAGAGTGCATGCATGACAAGGCCAATGTCACAACGGGGATAGTTCCTTTTACTTTAAATACGTTCAAAATGTCCTACATCGATAGTTATGTCTATATTTTCTGTCGTCGCGTGGCACCAATGTGCCTCATTAGGTGTCCCATTGTTTTTCGAAAGATGTAAGAACGCAATCGAAGTAATGCCGTTTATGGCCGGGTTCAATTAATTGGTACTTGTGATGGGAACCGATTCGCGCCAAATTTGCGCATCATTACTATATTGCCCCCCCCCCCCTCCACCTTCAATCTTCACAATTCAGGGACACGAAACGCTTTTTTCGTTCCAATTGAAAATCACTGTTTTCGTAATTGACAATGAGCTGCACACTGAACTATTGCTCGAGGAGTTTAAATTTTTGTCGCTCTATCTTATAAGGCACCGCAAATAAAGAGGGAATGCGATCAACAATAAATATGTCGTCTATGTCAATTTGCCGCAGGAGAAAATGTGTAATCTGTTTTTTTCCCACCGTCGAACGGGGAGATTTTAACTTACAAAGCTTACCACGGCCCTCTAGGCAGCTCAACTGCGATTCGTTCACGGAATGCGAGGTCGATATTAATTTGAAGAACTTCGTAAGCTTTATAATATATAATATAATGTAATTGGACGGATTTAACAAATTCAGCATTACTGTGCTCCGCATTGCCAAATTTCTTTTCATATTTTTCGTTCCCTACAGAAAATTGAATAACACTCACAATTAGATTTGAAATTTTGAAAGGAAACTGTTAAAAAGATTGAGGAATTTCTATGAAAATTTGAAGGCGGTATGTCTTTATTTTCCTCAATGGCATCGTGTTCGACGTCATACAGCCTAGTTAGGCTGGTATTGTCATGTGAGCAGGATAGCCGAAGGAAGGCGGCCGAAAATTCCCAAAACCGCTAAAGATATAGAGAGGAATAAGGATAGGTGCATATGGCGGTTTGGCGTCAGAGTGCATTTCTACGTTGTGAAATTTCTACCTCGGTACTTTATTTTTACAAGGAATTGTTAAGGAAATATTTTATTCACTCGTCTACAGAGTAAACACAATAATTAGCAAAATTTTGAGCAGATCGTCGTCTTCTGGACGGAAATAGGTAAATCCATTCCAAGGTTGCCAAATTGACCCAAACAATTAATTTATCTTACAGAAATGTACCTGTGCCAATTTTACCCAAAATTTCCTGATTACTGCATGAAATATGCGGAAAATCAGTGAAATTTCCAGCTATACATATGCCCAAGATTTTCCCGGTTAATATGCAGTTTGCGAGGGAAAATTTGGCAACATTGAATTGTAGTTACGTTCTTTCGTGGGCAAACGACGAAATGTGGAATGAAAAACTACTTAATCAGCCAAAAATCACAATAAAATAACAACTTAATTTGGGGAAAAGGCTGCAAAAAAAACAACAAAGGATGAACAAAAACCCGGAATGTTTTAAAAAAAAAAGTAAGTTCCGAAATTTAGGTTGTCACGATGTCATATAACCGTAAAAAATCGATTAATTTGAGTCAATATTTCAATCTTGGAATATAGTCAGGTTCCTTCGCCTGGGAAACGACGATTTCAGTGGCGAGGCGTGAATGATCGATCGATATCTCTCCATTTGAAGCTGTGGTAAAGAATCGATTATTAAAATGTTCGTTGCGAACACCCTGTCTATCGACCCTTCTCCGTAGGTTTAAATGGCAGACCAATCGATATATCGCAAACCACGCCACGCCTCTGGACCATTTGAGGGAAATCCATGAAAAAGCTTGAACGGAGTCGCGGCGCTTTGCTGCGGATGGCAGCGCGGGTATCACGATATCGAATTGCACGCTCATTTTTGGACGTATTTCTGTCAAACGGAACTATCTGCTTTATGATGTGAACCTTGTTATGCGTGTATCCTTATGCGTCTCAGGGCTCGT